GTGGAGGGGAAGGTCGGCGGGGGGAGCCCCGGCCGTCCCCCGGGGACCAGCGGACAGAGATGGAGCTGTCTTCCTGCGCAGGAGTCGGAGTCCCTGCGCCTAGAGGCCTTCGAGATCTACAGCACTCTCTTGGCCAAGGTCAAGGGGACGTACCTCGCCTTCCCTCTGAAGCACCAGGTCCTCAACCTGCTGGTCCTGCTGGTGCTGCACCTGGCAGACAGGAGTGTCAACGTGGTCCAGGTGAGGGGCCGTCCTCCCGGGGGCCGGGCGCAGGTGTTGCTGGGAGGGGGCGCACTTAGACAGGGACTCTGCGTGACTCTGCCTTGGGCTGTCTGGCAGGATAGGGTGGGAGCAGGAGGGAGACTTGGTCGGGCCGCCCGCCTCTGGCCCCGGAGGGTCGCAGGAAGGGGCGGGCACCCAGGTTTCTCAGGCTCCAGGCTCACCCCCGCTGGCCACCGAGGTCCAGTGGGGACCCCCCTCCCTCGGCCTGCCCTCCGCCCCCACCCAGTCCTGCCCCCCCACCGCTCCTCACGCCAGGCCTGTCCGCCCAGGTCTGCCGGCCAGCCCTCCGCCACGCGGCCTCCATCCTGGGCTGGTCGAGACTCAAGGCCGTGTTTGCCGAGAGAGATGTGTGGACCATCCTCACAGCCGTGGTGAGCGGCGGCCTCCTCGCCGGGGCGGGAGGCCGGGGGCCCCGCCTCGCGGGCCATCTCCCCGCCCCGGCGGGGCCCGACCTGACCCGGCGCCTCGTCCCGCAGCTGAAGCAGGAGCCGGGCAAAGCCCTGTGGTTCCTGCGGCAGAGCGTGGTCCTCTTCAAGAGCCCGCAGGCCCCCATCCGCCAGCTGGCGGTGTGGTTCGTAGGTGCGGCCCGGCCCGTCCCGGGTCCTCCAGACAGCCCGAGGGCCTGGCACAGCAGGGCCGGGGGACGGGAGGGCTGTCTCCAGCTGCGGGGTCCCTGCAAGCTGCTGGTCGGGTGGGTGACCCTCCTCCCTGGGAACGGGCCTTGTCCCCGGAGGCCAGGCCACCCATGCTCCGGGGGGCGGGGTCAGGGCCTCGAGTGAGTGCTGCCCTGCAGGAGGCTCTGAGCCTGTGGGGCTGCCTCCGGTCCCCCCCCCCACCTGGGAAACGCATCTTCGGAGCACAGGGGTTCCCTCCCTCTCCCCCTCCCCCTCCCCCTCCCCCTACTCGACGGGCTTCGGACCCTTCCGGGAGCAGGGGAAGCATTCCAACCTCACGGGAGAAGTGCAGACCCGAGACTGGCGTCCGCGGCCTTGCGGGGAGGGGACGACAGACAGGGCGGGCGTGTGGGGGCTGGGGGGGAGGCCCAGGGCAGGGCCAGCCGGGCCCCCCTGGGTCCTCCGTGGGCCCTGAGGCGCCGTGTGCCCCGCAGGCCAGATCGTGCGAGTCCTGGACACGGACGTGGGCAGCGGCATGGAGGAGGCGTGTGACGGTGAGGGGTGGTTTCACCCCCGGGGGGGGTGACGCACGCTGGCCCGGGCCCTCCTGTCCCCCCTCCCCACCCCCGTGTCCACCCACTGACGCCCCTCCCGCTGAGCTGCGGACTGCCCACCGGCTGGGACTCTTCCCGAGTGCCTCAGAGGGGGGACACCCGTCCTTCTCTCGTGGGAGGGGCCAGGAGGTTCCCCGCCAGCGGGGTGGTGGCCCGCGGGTTCCCTCCGCCTCGCTGCGCCCCAGCCCAGGGCTCTGCCACCACTTGTCCCCGAGTGCTGGCTGCCTCGGGCCACCGCTCTCTCTGAGGCTGGGGGGCTTGACTCGCGGTTTTGAGCCAGGCCGGGGCTGGGGGGGGCAGGGGGGGACCTTGGTGAGGACCCGGAGGGCCGGTCCTGGGCGCAGGGCTGGGAGCAGCCTGCCTGGCGCTCCCCAGCCTGTGCATGTGACGGAGCAGCGTGGCCCCCGGGAGGAATGGGATCTGAAGCTCCCGTTCCCATCCTGCCAGCCCCCTGCCCCCGCCCCCTGCCCCCTGTCACTCTGCACAGCCATCCTGGCCAGTCCCCCGTTCCCCCGCCCCTGGGCCAGCCTCCCGCCCCGCCCCACCCGCCCATCTGGGCAGAGCGAGCGCTGCGTCCCCTCCGCCGCAGCCCTGAAGTCCATGAGGGAGGACCCCGACCCCGCCGTCGGCTGCCTGGCCGCACAGACCCTGCACGTCCTGGAGGTCAAGGAGCGGCTGCCGCCCAGGACCTCCACCTCCTGCTCCTGCCTCTGCGGCAGGAGGCGCTGAACCAGCTGCTTCTGAGCCAGGCCCTTGGGCGACGGCCGTGCCCCGGGCCTGGCCCCACGGCCCCACACGGGAGAGGCATCCAGGCGTGCCCTGCCGCACCTCGGAAATAAAGGGAGCCCCCCCAACTACTTCTGCACCCCAACCCTGTGGAGCGAGCGGGTTTCCTGGTGTTTGTGCGGAGTCTGCGCCTGCCGGGCGGGCCGGGCGGGCGGGCCAGGCCGGGGCCACCACTCGGGTGCAGCCTCGTCGGCAGCGGTCTGGGGATACAGGCCCCGCCCCACCCCGCCCTGCCGCCCCTCTGCCCTCTCCCACTGGGTGGCGAGGCTGAGGGCTGAGGGCTGAGGGTGCATCGCTGGAACCCTGTCCTGGGAGGGCAGGGCCCCGTGCGGCAGTGAGTCACGCCGGTGCCACAGGCTGGAGAGGGTTTATTAAAAGGCTGGGGAGAGCTCGTAAAAACCCTGGGGGGACCAGTGGGTTCGGCTGCCACTCACCTCGCCCGGAGCAGGCCTGCTCTTCAAGCTCTTCTAAGCCCGTGCAGGTGGAGGCCTGGCCTCCGCTCCCCGGGGCGGCCAGACGCTGCTTCCTCGCGCACCCGCCGCAGGGCAGCCGCGTGGGACCCGGGTCGCTGGCCCCCCAGCCCAGCTCTGGGTGCAGGGACAGGGTCCCAGGGTGATAAAAAGTAGTGTCCCCCCTGGCCAAACCTGCCTGACCGGAGCCCCTCTGGCCTCTGCCCCTGCACCCAAGTCCCCGGGGACACGGACCTGCCCGCCCCCCGCCACTTCCCCCCCAGCGTATTTCCTATAATAAGCAGATATAATTTTGGGGGGGGAGCGTTCTACATTAAAGAAACAGGGAGCCAACACCCCTAAACTCAGCATTTACGCTCCCCCTGCCCCCAAGTGCCTTGGCATCTTCAGGACCCCGGGGTCCTGAGTTTGGAAAGACCAGCGTTTCGGCGAACACTCGGGCAGGGCGGGGGCAGGGGGGTGGGGGAGGGGAAGGGCACAGTCCCGGGGAGGAACCCGTTGGCTGAAGTCGGCTCCCCGGCCCCTGACGGGTTCAGCCGCCCCAGGCCTCTGTGTTCTGGGTTCGCCCCCGCACCCCGGGTCACCTCCACGGTCAACAGTGGTGTCTGTCCCACAGGGCAGGGCCCCGGGTAACAACGAGCGGGTGGGGAGCCCGGGCGTGGCTCCGCTGGTCCCCAGAAACAGCGTCCTCCGAGGCCACCTGCGCCCGCAGCCCCGGGGGGATGGGCAGTTAGGCGGCCGTGCGTTCCCTGGGCGGCTCAGGTCCCCTCTCCTGGGCCAAGACCCCTGCATCTGCGGACAAGAAGCCCCCCCGCCCAACTACTTCTGTGCTCCGGACTTCCAGAACCCCTGCTGGACCGTCGTGGCCACAGCCTCGGTCCCAGATGAGGAGCAGGGACTGTGTGGACGGACAAGGCCACCACGCGGTTTAATGTCTGGGCATCGAAGCAGTGACCAGCTGGCTGGTGGCGGAGGCGGAACTGGCCCCCTGCCCTGCCCCGGCCTGTCCGCCCAGAGGACGGGCCAGCCTCTCGGGAGCCGCTGGGGGTGGGGGCTCAGGGGTTCAGTGACCTGTCACGCCCCAGCCCCCCCAAAACGGCCCGTTTCCTCATCATCCCCTCACTCAGTGCGTGCTCAGCATCTTGGGCCACAGGACGCCCCTGGGGAGTGCAGAAACGCGCTGGGCGAAATCGTCCAGCCCGGACTCGGCTGCAGAGATGTCTTAGCAAGGGGGAGTCGGGCGCACTAGGCAGCAGGACCCCGAGGACCCTGAGGCACGGGCCCGGACGATCGGGGAGGTGCCCCTGCACAGCACCCGTGACAGGGTGCCCCAGGGCCGCAGCAGCTGCGTCCCGGAGCCCTGCTCCCGTGTCCGCGGGGTGCGGTGCCCGTTTCAGGCTGCCTGGCGTCTCACCGACTCAGCGCTATTTCTGTGTCAGAACAATGGGAGTGGAAGTCGGAGCACGGGAGAATTTCACGGGAAAGGGGATGAGAGTTTTAAAGATTGGAGAATCCTGACCGAGAACTGGGCACCGAGGCCAGTGTGGAGTGGGGTTTGCTTTCATGCTTTTATGTTTCGTAATTTGTCTTTTATTTTTAGAGAATGGGGAAGGGGGGAGGAAGAGAGGGAGGGGAACGTCAGTGTCAATGTGCGGTTGCCTCTCACGCGCCCCCTACTGGGGACCTGGCCCGCGACCCAGGCAGGTGCCCCGACTGGGGATGGGACCTGTGACTGTTTGGTTCACAGGCCGGGGCTCAGTCCGCTGAGCCCCACCGGCCGGGGCTGGAGCTGTTCGTGTCTCACCGCCTCCTCTTCAGCGCTGCGGGGAGGCAGGGACCTGGTGCGCACACGCAGCACGTCCTCCGGGCCCCCCGAACCGCCGATCGGACAGGGGTGCCGGGGCAGCGGCAGGTCCGGGTTCCGACCCTGGCCGTCTCAGTAGCTGCGACCCTGCCCAGGCCACCTGCTCTGCGAGTGTTCTCACTTCAGAGAGCGAGGACCCCCCCCCCCCCGTCCCAGGGCAGAGACGACCCAGTGAAGAGCCGGACGCGGTGCCCGGTGGGGGCCCAGGTGTGGGGCCCATCCCGGGAGGCAGCACACGAGTGTCCGGGAAACGCGACAGGCCCCCCCCCCCCCCCGCCCAGGGCACCGTCAGCAGGCCAGCCGCCCCCCCCCCCGCCCCGAGAAGGGCCACCAGTCCGGTCGGCAGGCCCAGGGACCCCACCGCGGCAGATGACAGCCATTCGGGTTTTATTCGGGACAACTCCTGAGGGCAAACACACATCCGGTCTAGGGGCGCAAATGTACAACGTGAGGCTTAAATAACTTTCATACATATGTACAGTCGCGGGCAGAGGTACAAAACCCACGGACACCTTGTGCTGGATGCAGAGCACCGGGGGGCGGGGGGCGTGCGCCCGTGGCCCCCGTGGCCCAGGCCGGGGCGGCGGCTGGAAAGGGCTGGTGGGGAGGGCAGGGCCCCGATTCACGCCTGAGGTCTCCTTAGACCCTCGGCTCTTCTTCGCAGAGCGGCGTCCGCCTCCGTGCAAGGCCCTCATCAGGGCGTGGGTCCCAAGGACTGGGGCGCTGGGGTGCGGCCAGGCTGGGGCTCGTCGAGTGCCGGGGAGGGGCGTGGACGGGGCAGAACGCAGGTGCCCTGGGAGACACGGAACTTCCCCTGCACCAACCGAGGGGGCGGCGAGGGCCCGGGGGGCTGCGCCCAGTGGGGAGCACAGTGTGCAGCTGTCCATTTGGGATGGTGAGGGGGCCGAGGGTGCAGGCTTGGGTCGCCCGGGCGGGAGGAGCTCAGTGCTCCCGCACAGACGCCAGCAGGGCCGGAGCATGCCGGAGGGGAGGGGCCCGCACCCAGCCCCGGCCGCAGGCGGGTGCGGAGCCGGGCACTCCGACTTCCCGGGAGCCTCGGCCCTCGGCCCTGCCTTCCTGGTGGGAGAGAGGCAGGGCCAGCCACTCCCGGATCCGCAGGAGGCCCAGGGTGCAGCGCGGCCGCCCCTCCTCCTCGGGCCGGCTCCCAGCTGCCCTGGGGGAACCAGTCGCCCCATGACAGAGACGGGGGGTAGGGGGTGGGGGGGGAGTGCGGGTCCAGGCTCACAGGGACCCAGCGTGGGCTCAGGCGAGAGAAGATTCGGGGTGTGGGGTGCAGCGGCCCGGCCTCACGCCCTCCGAGGGCCACAAGACAGGACGAGGATGATGACCAGCATCAGAGTGAGCGCTGGTGGGAGGAGGGCCGGCCCCACGTCCCACGGACCCAGCCACCTGGGCCCAGGGAGCGCGGGCCACCTGCCTTGTGCTCAGACCACGACCAGTTTGTGCTTCCAACACGGGGGTGCTTGTGCCACGAGGCCGGGGGGCCGGCCCCCAGCCGAGTACCTTGGGCCCCGCAAGGGAGCGGCTAGGCTGCCGCCGCCGCTGCGGAGCTTGGCTCAGGGAGACGTCAAGTGTCAGGTCAGTGCCGCGCTGGGACAGCAGAGCCGCCGGCGGTGAGGTAGCGCGCCATCGGCAACAGCGGGGGGACACCTGGCGGGCCGCAGGGCCCCCCAGCAGGACGCCGGCCGCCCCCGGCTTGGCCACCCCGCCACGGGGTGACGTGCGGGCAGTCTGTCTGTTTCTGCAGCCTGCGAAGTCAGGCAGCCGAGTCTTCCTTACGGGTCGGCGCTTTCGGCTCAGGCGGGGAGAGGCCGGGGCGGGGACGGACCTGGGGGCATCTGTTCCGGGCACCCCTGGCGGCTGGAAGGGAGGGTCCAGTGTGGGAGACAGAGGGTCCCAGGGGCCCACGGGGCCCACGAGGGCGCGTCCGGCCTGCACAGAGGCTCACGGAGACGTCACCACCGCGTCCAGCGGGGCCACCCGCACAGAGCAGCATTCTCAGCCTGGGGAGGGCTCCGAGCAGGGTGGGGACAGGAGGGGGCAGGAGGGGGCAGGCTGCGCTCCGGCCCCAGCAGGTGCTGTCCCCTCAGGGGCAGGCTCGCCCTGGGCCAGGCCGCGGAGGCTCCCACACCCCGGCCAGACGGAGGAGGTGCCAGGGCAGAACAGAGCCACCACCAGGGGGCCCCGGGCCCCGTCCTCTGAGCAGGGCTGGGCTCCCGGCCCCACACCGAGGCGGGCAGCACCGAGCGGAGAAGCGTCCTTGAAGCAGAGCACAGGCCAGGGCGCAGGGGCCGTGGATGCCGAGGTGCCCCAGCAGGGGCCGCACTCAGGTCAACAGCGTCCCTGGGCGGAGCCCCCAGCCCCGGGCGGTGAGGAGCCCGGTGGACCCGGCACCACTCTTCCCGAGGGGGCCCCGGCCCACGCCAGCGTTAAGGCTTGAGAATGTCTCCTGAATACTCAACAGAGGGAAGGAGTGAGGGACTTCCCGGCCCTTCAGGGGGAGGATGGGAGGGACTGGGGACCATCAGGCGGCTTCCTGCTGGCCACGGTCCCCCGAGCTGCTGCCCACGTGGCCCAGGAGGGACTCTGGGGAGGGGGCCCTGGCCCTGGGCTCCTGGTGGGGCACCCTGTCTTCCAGGGCAATGGGCGTGAGACCCATGTGAGAAGACACAGGTGGTGCTGCCTCCCCCCCCCCCGCCCGCCCGGAGGCAAGGCTGGTGTCGGGCTGCCCAGGGCGGGCGCCGGGCCCGGCGGGCAGAGGAAGGCACTGGAACCGCCAGGCGGCCGAGACCGGGTGCTCGGGGGGCCCCGGGGTGCTGCAGGGACGGCCCGGGCTGCACAGCCGAGGGGGCATTTCCCTCCCCTGCACGGCCACAGGGAGGGGGCTGGAGGGGTCCTGGCCCCCAGCGCAGAGGGACGGACGGAGCGCGCGGAGGAAACTTCAAGTCAGCTTCCAGGAGGCAAGAGCGAACGCTAGAATAAATAGCTGAAGCCCGTCTGAGCTCGGCCCAGGGGAGTCCTTCCAGCAGCGCCCCCTCGGCCCTCGGCACAGGACCCCGAGGGTCGCCGGGGTGAGCAGAGAGTGGGGGTTCATGGCCAAGGCGCTGGGGGCCCAGCTGCCGACACGGTTTCCATAGTTACCTGAGGACGATGTTTAGGGCTCAGACGCAGCGGGAGCTGTGGTCCAGAGGCTGGGCTGGGGTGCGGGGGCTGCCTCGCTCCCCCTGCAGGGCCACCCCCGGGCCCAGGGCTCCAGGAAGGGCTGGGCTAGCTCAGCAGGGGCAGTGTGGCCAGTGAGGGGGGGATGGGGCCACAGGAGAGGAGCCCTCCGGTGTCACAGCTTAAATCCCCCCCATGTCTGCCTCCCCAAGACGGGGGTCGGCGTCCATGGTGGGAAGGTCCAGGGAGGGCGAGGAGAGCGGGGTGGGGGGTGCGGCCATCACCCACACCCCGTCCCCAGGCAGCTGGCCCCGAGGCTGCGGCGTCCCCTCTGTGTGGTGCGGGCTGCTGGGGCCAAGGGCCGGGGCTGTCCTCTGACCTCAGTCCTAGGGGGGGCCCCGGGGTAACCGCCGGACGCTCCAGAGCTTCACGGTCAGGTCACTGGGTGGGGGGGACAGCGAGTGGCTGGTCAGCCCTCAGCCTGGGCCCGGCCGGCCGCCCCCACTGCTCCCCAAACACCCAGACGTGGCCGGGGCTCAGGGCCAAGCCCCGATGAGGACAAGGGTGCAGGATGCAGGGTGCTGGACAGGGGAGGGGCCCACGTTTTCCTATCGGCTTTTCCCTACAGCGGTTTGGCCTGGTCCAGCCCTGACCACCCGCCCTGCTCCCTGCGGCCTGGCCCCCCCGTCCTGGGGTGGCCCCGCCATTCCGGCCCGGAGGGGGGGTGGAAGAGAGCAGCATAGAGGAGCGGTGGTCTCGTACCGTGGAGAAGCAGCTCAGGCCGAAGTGGAGAGAGAGGGAGAGAGGGGGGAGCGGGAGGAGGCGGGGTCAGGGCAGGGTGGTGGCGCGGCCCTTTATGGCCAGGACCCGGCGAGGAAGGCAGGGGGTGAGTCCGGGGACGTAAGTCCACAGCTTCACCCTGCAGTCGCTGTGGGGGAGACAGGGGGGGAGCGGAACAGGCGGGAGTGGGCGGGCGGAGGGGGGACAAGTGCGGAAAAAGAAGGAGAGAGAAGGAGAAAGAAGAGACCTCGGTGAGTGCCTCCCCTCGGGACAGAGCACCTGGGCGCCCCCTGGACAGGGACCAGGGCTGGCTCTGGGGGTGGCTGGGCTGCGCTGTGATTGAGGACACCTGGGCAGGTGTGAGGAGAGGGGGCGGGGCCTGCTGGGTGAGGCACTGGGCCCCGCCCAGGGCCCTGCCCTGGGAGCCCTCCCAGCCCCTGCCCACGCAGGGGGGGCAGGCGCCCACCTGGAGGCGGTGAAGATGTGCTTGGCGTTGGTGCAGATGGCGTTGATGGGGCTCTCGTGGCCCTTGATCTCGCCGATGGGCGTGAAGTTGTCCACGTTCCAGACCTTGATGACGCCGGCCCGGCAGGCGCTCAGCAGCATGGGGCGGCCCGGGACGAAGGCCAGGGCGCACACCCAGTCCTTGTGCGCGTTGGGGATTTGCTGGGGGGAGGAGACAGGCGGGTGACGCAGGGCCAGGACCCCCCCAGCTTCCGGTGTCCCCAGGCAGGCAGGCCCCAGACGAGGGTCTGCCAGCCTTCCCAGGCTCAGGCCTAAGACCCTGCCCCGGAGGGGCCCCCGCCAGCCCTTGGAGGGATCGGGGGAAAGGAATGCTCCAGGGGCGGGAGGAGAGGCCAGCCTCACGGTCAAGTCCGGGGCAAGGGGTCGGAGAGGGTGGAGGGCAGGCAGGCTGGAGGCCCGCTGGCCTGGGCTGCATGCGGGGAGCACCTGCCCCGGTCACCCCGCCTGTCCCCCCACCTGGATGAGCTCCTGCTGCTCCAGGTCCCACTTCTTGATGCCGTTGTCCCGGGAGCCGCTGAAGAGGACGTCCCCGTGGATGGCCAGGCACTCGATGCCGTCGTAGTGCGGCGGCTCGAAGTTGTGGGTGGGGCCGACGGTGCCGGCCACGCACTCCCCCAGCTCGAACATCTGCGGGACGGGGTGCGGGGAGGCCCCAGAGTCACCTGCCGCCGGTGCAGCCCCGGGGCCCAGGAGACACGGCGGACCGGCACTTCCCGCCCGCGGCTCTGGCCTCTCCGGGGCACGCTCTCCGCTACGTGGCCAGAGGTCCTGACATTTTTCACGAGTGCTCCAGGGCAGCAGGGGGAGGGGCAGAGGGAGAGACACCCAGCGTCTCGGGTACCTTGACGTAGTGGTCCTTGGAGCCGGTCACCACCAGGTCGTGCTGGCTGGCCGTCTGGGTGACCGTCAGGCACATCACGGGCCCGATGTGGCCGGTCAGCTTGCCGACGGGCTGGAACCTGCGGAAGGGCCCAGAGGGGGCAGGAGGGTCAGCGTGTCTGTCCTGGGAGGGGCGCACCTCTCCTCCCCGGGCAGAGCTGCCCTCCCCCAGGGGCCTTGGAGGGTGCGGGGAGCAGGACCACAGCGGGGACCTGCGGCCCCGGGACGGCACCCGGCTCTGAGACCTGTGCGCCCTCCCTCGGCCACACCCTCCCCCTCCCCCGGCAGCCCCGGACCTGCCGAGCTCCCAGATGCGGACGGCGTTGCCGGAGGCGGCATACAGCATGGTGCCCGAGGGGCTGAGGGCGATCTGGTTGATCTGGTGCTCCCCCGGGGCGCTGGTGATGGTGCGGGTGGACGCGGCCGCACAGGCGTCCCCTGAGATCACCTGGCCGGAGGACCTGCCCGGGAGGAAGTGGGGCCCGGTCAGGGAATAAAGCGCAAGTCAGGCCTCACTCAGAACAGGCCCACCGGCCACTTCCTCTAGGAAGCCTTCCCTGACTGGCAGGCAGGATGAGTGGGACCCGAGGGGAGAGCAGGACCCAAGCGCCCACCCTGACCTCCGGTCTGCCTGAGCTGGGGCCCAGAGACTGTCAGACGGAGTCGGGACCCTGGGGTTGAGGCCGGGTCCTGTGGGAACCTCTCCGGCCCTCGGCCCCTCCTCTGTCAAAAGGGGGGACACGCCCAGCCTGCTTCCGCGGCCTCCATTCAGAGCGACGTGGAGCAGGAGGCACCCACTCTGACCTGCACTCCCTGCCACCCCGGCCCCTGCCCCCTCGGCCAACCCCCACCAGCTGGCGCATTTGTCTCAGCCGGCCACTGGGCACGGGCGCACCATGGCCGCCCAGAGCCCACAGTTTACAGTAGGGTCACCCTCGGCATGGCGAGTCCCGTGGATTTGCACAGAGGTGCCACAACAGGCCCCCTCGTTCCTGTGTCATGCAGGGCACCCCACTGCCCTGAAGGTCCTCCATCCACTGTTTAGAGAATCAGAGGCCGAGAGAGACCACAGCGTGCAGTGCAGGTGTGAGACTCGCACCCGTGGCCTTGCCGAGAATCGGTTTCGCTGCGTCGGCCCCGCTCTGGGTCCAGCGCCCGGGTGCAGAGGCTCGGGGGCGGGACCACACGGGCTGGTCCTGCAGGCAGGGGGCCAGCTCGGAGGAGGCTGCCGCCTGCTGGGCTCCCCCTGCTTCCCCGGCTCCCCTCTCCACTCAAGCGCAGCTCGGGGGGCCGGGCCGAAGGTGCGGCCGGCCAGGCCAAAGGCCCCTCCAAACTGCTGCCCCGGATGCCGCCCCCAGCCCAGGGGTGTCCCTTCACCCTCAGCATCAGGCTGTGCCGAGTGGGGGCCCCGGGCCGGGCACCAGCCACCAGCCGGCCCACCACGGGGAGGAGCACTCACGTGAGGGTCCGGATGCACTTGGCCGAGTCGCGGATGTCCCACACCTTGATGTAGGAGGTGGACACGGAGAACACGAGCCCCGAGTGGCTGCAGTACTTGATGGACACCACGTTGTTGGGGTGGCCCTTCAGGGCCGCGATCTCCTGCCCCGTGACCAGGTTCCACATCTTGCAGCTGCGGTCTGTGGCGGTGGAGCCGCGGGGAGGGGACAGGCGTCAGGGGCAGCGGGCGCGAGGCTGGGGGCCGGCTCCAGGCCCGGGGGTGGGGGCGACCCGGGGAGAGGCAGCCCGGGGAGGTTTGGGAGGAAGCGCGGGACGGAGGCCCCGGGGCGGCCGGGATGGGAGCCTGGGGCCAAGGCAGGGGTCGCTAGACCGGGCCACAGCGAGTCCGCCCCATGTCCTCCAGACCCGGGAGACGCGGGCCGCCCCCGGCCAGTCTGGGCCCTGCCCACCTTTGGACCCCGTGAAGAGCAGCTCGTCCGTGGCGTCCAGGCAGAGGATGGGCTTGGTGTGGCCCTCAGCCATCGAGACGCACTGCAGCGGGGCCGTCCGTCCACCCTTGGCTCCCCCAACCGGCGAGATGACGCCCCTTCCAGGACAGAGGGAGAGAGGGCGGCCGTCAGCCGAGGGCGCCGCCCCAGGCAGAGTGCGGGGAGTGGCAGAGGGGGCCTGGGCCTGACGGAGGCCCCAGGGACGCCGGCCGGGGCCAGCAGTGGGGTGCCGGGAAGGAGGCGCGTGGGCAGAGCGGGTGCCACCCCATCCTCCGTGATTCCGGGAGAGCGCCCTGTCCTGCCCACGGGGAGCTCCCGCTGGTGCTGCGGGGCAGCAGGTCCCAGGCCTGGGGGGCCCCTGCACCCTCACAATGGCCCCATGCCGCTCCAGGTCACCCAGGCAGCCAAGGGACCCACGGGGTGGGCGCCCCGGTCGCCTCCACACCCTCTGCCAGTGGCTGCCTCAGGCCGGCACCGCGCACGCAGGGGGGCTCACGCACACGCACCCCGCCTACAGCCCCTCGGACCAGCACGGTCGGGCCTGAGCCTGTCACTCACACGGGTCCCCTTCTGGGACCCAGGCTCGGCTCTGGGTTGAGGGGTCTGCGGCCCCTGGCGGGTGCGGGGAGCCCCTCCCGGCCCCACAGTCCCCGCATCCGCCCACGGCAGACACTGCGGGTGGATGCTGCTCCCCAGGGAGGGCCTGTGGGCGTGAGGCCCCGCTGAAAACACACCCGGCGCTTTCCCGAAGACCACCCTGCCCCCCACAGGAACGCTGAGGCCGGGGTGACGCACGTGCCCCCCGAAGGCCTCTCAGGGCCCCGGGGACCCAGTCCGTGCCCCCCATGCCGAGAACAGCATCAGACAGGCCCAGCAGCCAGCCGGGGCCGCCCACAGAGACGGCCCCCCCACATCTGCCCCCCTCCCCAGCTCCCTGCTCCCAACGCTGCCCTGGGCCTAGCCGCGCGGCTGGGCCGGAGCTGTGGGCAGCGTGTTAACGAGTAAACCCGCCTCGGTGAGACCGGGGGCTGGCTGGGGGGGGGGGGTGTGCCCTGGCCTCTGCAGGAGGGTTTGCAGGGGGCCTCACGCCTGGGGTGGGGGCACGGCCAGTGGTCAGCGGGGGCCGCGTCCGGAGAGTGGGCCGGTGCTCCCGGCCCAGCCGGGGCCCGTTGCTTGGGCCCCCCAGCGGGTCCCGTGTGGGGGCTGCTGTGTGGGGTGGGTGGGGGACAGGGGAGCCCCAGCACTCCCGGTCCGGGGGACAGAGCCAGGTCTGCGTGTGCCCACGCTGGCACAGACGGAGCGAGTCACCGCGACCCTGGGCGCAGCCACCGGCGCTGCTGGGCAGAGCCCAGCCCGGCCCCACCTGGCCAAGACTCCATGCTCCTTGCTGCACGCCCCCACCCGGCGGCAAGGGAGGAGAGAGCCCGGGGCCTGGGGCAAGCACATGCACGCCCTCCCGAGCCCCCAGCTCCAGCCGGCGGTGCGGCCACCCTGAGAGGAGAACCGGGGGCGGGAAGGGGCCTGGAGGGGCGGTGGAGAGGCGGGGTGCATGCGGAGGGCGGGGTGCATGCAGGCGGGAGGGGCCGGGGAGAGAGCAGGGAGGGCGCCGGGGACAAGCATGCGGCCGGCCGTCGGTGTGTACCTCAGGACCTCCGACAAAGAGGAGTCGCTGTCGTCAGACCTGGGGGGGGCAGAAAATTAGCTGGATTAGGGGGAGGGCGGGAGACACACAGGGGCGGAGCCAGCAGCGGGAGGTCAGAGGGCGGTTATTCTCTCGGAGGGCAGCGGAGCGGGGAGGCGGCGGGAGGCAGCGAGCGCTGAGGGGCAGGGGGCAGGAGCTGGGGACAGTCCTCCGCGACCAGGGTGGGGCGGGGTGGGGAGGGGTCCAGGGAGCCGCCGAGCGCCGGCCTCCCGTCCGGGTAGCCCCTTCCTGGGCTGTCTGCTGGTCCCAAGCCCTCCGACTGCCCCATCGCACAAGCTGGGGCACCCATCCCACCAGGCAGCGTGGGGACCTGCCGGCTCCTCCCGTCCGGGAGGCTGGCAGCTTCCAGCCCTTCCTCAGGGACCGACTGAGTTGCAGCAGAGCCCACTGTCCCCGGAGCGCCCACAGGGACGTGCTAGGAGCTGGCTGTGCACCTCACATGAGCCCCAAGACCCGGACCCCAGGAGAGGACCGCGGGCTGGACGACTGACCGCCAGCTGGCACGGCGAGAGCCCACCCCACCCCGCACACCCCACCCCGCACCGCTTCTGAGAAAGGGGCCGGTCCGCGGTAAAGGCGTGGGGGGCCCCCTGGTTGGCGTGGGCCAGGCTCGGGGTGCACCCCCACAGCGGGAGCCTATGCCAAGGCGGCGGGGGCGGAGCATGTGTGCACTCAGAAGGGGCGTTTCCGTGGGCGAGACTGGTGCCAGGGGCCCGCCGGGGCGAGGACTGGCGCTGTCCAGCCTGCTCTGTCTCTCACGGCGGGGCCAGAGAGGAACGTGAAGGGGAACTCCTGGCGGACAGGCCCCCTCCCCCAGGCCGAGTCCCCTGCTGTGGACACATGCCAGTGCAGGTCACAGCCCCGGGTGCCCCGCCCAGTGCCGGCACTTTCTAGGGGGCTGCCCCATTTCCTGTTGTGTCAACTGGGGGCGACAGTCCCCACAGCTGGCTGACGGCCCAGCTGAGACTGAGGGGGTGGGGGCCTGTGCCGGGGAGGCCCACTCAGCACCCGTCCCACCGACAGGGGCTGCCCCCGAGGGGAGAGCCCACCGGCCTCTGAGCCTTCCTGGTAGGAGGGGCTGGTGGAGCTGGAGGAGGGGGCGTCACAGAATCAGGGCCTTCACTGAGGAGGCTTCAAGGGCGGTTCTGGGGGTGCCCCCGGGTGCCGGAGTGTCCCTGCCAGCCCTGTGGCTTTCTGCACGTGCGCTCTCCCGAGCCCTGTGGCTTTCTGCACGTGCGCTCTCCCGAGATCCCCCGAGACCCCCAGCGCTCCGGGAACCGAAGCGTCCCAGGTCAGGACGGAAAGGGCAGAGCGGCCAGGAGAGGGGCCGCCTGGGCCCCAGGCGCCCCATCCACGGCCACGGCCACGGCCACAGCCACGGCCACGGCCCGCCCCAGGCGCCCCCCGCTTCCCCCAGGGAGCCGGCCACTGGGCGCTTACTTGTCCAGCGCTGACCCTTGGCTCTGGTGGCTGGTGAGGCGGGAGAAGACGTTGCGGTCGTTGCGAGGGCGTGTGGGGGGGGACGGGGGCGGCGTGGACCCCACGTCTGCGGACCTGGTGAGCGGCGGGGGGGGGGGAGGGACAGAGCGGCGTCGGCGAGGGACCGCAGCCCGGCCCCGAGCCCCGCGTCCGGCCGAGCCCCCCCGAGTTCTCCCGGACAGCCCGTCCGCCCACGAGGCTCCCCGATTCCAGGCTGGCGCCCCGGCCTCATCAAAACGCGCTGTAGTCCCGAAATAGCCCCGCCGCGCTTTCGCGGTCAGCGCAGACCGGAGGGGGGCGGGGAGACGCTGGCATCGGTGTGCCCGGCCACCACCTGAACCCACCACCCTGGGCCCGTGGCCTCCGCCCACCCTGCGGGCACTCGGCCTCCCGTGGGCTCCTCGACGCCACGGAGTGTGCATGTCCGCGCTTTCTCCTGGTGGTTTGTACTCACACGGCCCCAGGGGGGCGCCGTCCCGTGTCCCCGACCGGGAGGGGCCGTGACGGCCTCCCGGAGGAAACCCCTGCGCCCCCGGAGCGCCAGGCCCGAGTTAGTGAATCAGAGGCGCACGCTGACCAAGTGTCTTCGAGCAGAACCCCACCCACCCAATGCGAGGGCTGGCACCGGCCGGCCGATGAAAAGGCGGCGACCGGAGGCCCTGGGCATGGGGCCGGCTCCGCGCCAGGACGTGAGCGTTTTGGGCGGAACTGCTGTGAGGGACGGGACCCGACCGCCCGGCCCCGCTCTGGCACCCCGGACGCTCCGTCCCGGGTTCGGCCTCGGTCCCTCGGACGGCCCTGCGTCCTCACAGGTCACGGGGAAGCGGCGGGGGTGAGCCCCAGGGGGAAGCGCTCCTGCCACCCCCCCACCTGTGGCCAGCCGCTCTGCGAGGCGCTGGTGGGGGGTGCGGCTGGCACTGGGGGGAGTCCCCCTGGCTCCCTCCAAGGCTGACGGTGAAGACGTCCTGAGACCCCGCCCTCCCACTCCTCAGCTGTGACCTGGGATGGCCACCCGATGTCCCTGAGAATTCGGGGACATCGCCGGAGGACCCCCGAGGCACCAGCGGTCTGCAGAGGCTCCCCGTGGCCGGGCCAGGGAGCAGCCCCCCCCCGCCCCCCCCCAGACTTCCCCGGCCTGCCCTGGTGTGTGTGCATTATCTTTAAATGCCTGAACTCCTCCCTCTCACACGACCAGACCCCAAAAGGGGTTGAAGTGCGTCCGGGCAAGGGCAGCCCACCGACGCGGAGCGCACCTCGGCCTACAACGTCAGCCTCGGCCCGGCTCCCAGTTCAAGGTGCGTATGGAGGTCATGGTCCTGAACCCACCACTCCGGACGGGGCGGGGCGGCGCCCGTGGGGGCCGGGGAGCGACTCGGTCTGGCCCGGACTGAAATGCCCACAGGGGTGGCCACCGCGCTGCCGAGGCCCGGACGGGGGTGGGGGGGTCTGGCGGGCACACACTCTCACCTGGCGGGCTGCCCCCGGTCGTACGACTTCCTCCGGGTCAGCGGGGAGGTGTCGGCGCCTCGGGACTGCCGGGGGCTGGAGCAGGAGGGGCGGGTGAGGCGCCGCCCGGCTCCCTGCACCCCCATCCCTCCCCTCCCCCCCCGCCCCGGGCCCGCCGCCCGGGCGCCCCGCTGTCCTCCTTACAAGGTGCTGCCCCGGGTGGGCAGGCTGACGGTGCGCGAGACCTTGTCCCGGAGGAGAGGGTCCCGGAGGGAGAAGCCCGCGCCGTCCTCCGTGATCTCCACCAGCGAGGCCAGCGACTTGGTGATGTTCTTGGTGGAGACGTCCAGCGGGGGCCCCAGGCACTCGGCGGACACGGCCTTGATCTGGGCGGACAGCTTGGGCTCGCCCTGCAACGGAGGCGCCAGTGGGCCGACTTCCCGCGCGGGTGGCCGGGCAGGCGGGGGGATGGTGCGGTCAGGGAAGGGCACGGCCCAGAGCCCGTCTCTCCAGGCTTCTGGAGAGTTCTGAGCCACAGGCACGGGTTTCCCGCGCTGCCTCGGACCGCGCAAACAGCCGCTCCCCGGCTGACCCCGCGCCCCGCACAGGCCTCTCTTCAGAGCTGTTTCTCGGTCCCAGGCCACCAACCGGGCCCCGTGGGCACGCAGAGCCCCTCGCTGCTGGCCCTGCTGGCGGGCCGCCATCTGCACATACACAGGAGCCAGGGACCCGGTCTGTCTCCGACTCAGGTCGGGGGCGCGGAAGAGGGAGACATTGAAAGTGGGGACCCTGGCTCTGGTGATGTCGCCCGGCAGTGGCCCTGGCCCCTCCTCCCGTCTTTCTCGCCCTCCAGAAGGAACGGGCTGTATCGGGTCACGCACCTGGCCCCCCACCCCTCCGACCTCAGGCTAGACCCTTCCCGGACCTCCACCCCGGCTGGAGGCAGCGCTGGGTCGGGGCTGGGGCGAGGGCAGGGCCGTGGAGCGCGGACCAGGCTTGACGAGGCCGGGCTCTCCCGAGGGGGCTCACCTTGAACTTGAAATCGTCGTGGCTGGAGGAACCTTTCATGGTGAACGACTGGGAGAAGCTAAGGTCAAAGCAGAGGGAGGCCAGCACCCAGTGAGCCTCCCCCCCGGCGCTCTGGGACCTCAGCCTGGGCCCCAGAGAACCCCCGACCCAGGCTGCGCCCTGGCCCCCGGGGCTCCCCCCGCCCCGCACCCTCAGCCCCGGGGGCGCTGAGCTGGTGCTCCCTCCGGGCGGGTGGGGAGCCTCACCTGCCCTCAGAGAACTCCGAGACCTCCTCATCGGTGCTGGCGTAGCCGTTCTCTGGGTGGGGAGGAAAGTGGGGATCGGGGCGTGAGAGGCCCCTAAATGAAGCCCCCTCCCACGTCTCGCCCGCTGGGATCGGGCGGGCTTCTGGCCGGGTTCTGGGCAGGCGCAGTCCCCGGAGGGTCAGGGCCGGGAGCCCTGGCAGCGCCCAGGGACTTGGAGGCCATGCCTGCCCCCCCCCCATGTTCCCCCCCACGCCCCGCATACCCTGCTGCACGTTCTGGATGAGCGCCTGCAGCTCCGGGTGGGCCTCCGCCTTCTCGCGCAGCGCGTCCAGGAGCAGGTGGTTCTGGGAGGAGCCCGCGACGTCCGTCTGCCTCAGCCGTCCCTCCAGCAGTCGGATCTGGGCCTCCTTCTGGGCCACCTGCAGCCCCTGGGGGCAGGGGGCCAGGCCTGGGTGAGCCTCCCGGGCCTGGGACCGCGGGCACCCTGCCACCGCCCAACCTCCCTGCGTCCCCTGGGGGGGCGAGCTGTGCCCACCTTGTCGATGGACGCCTTGAGGAAGTTGTCTAGCAGGAGGCGGGCCTCGGCCAGGGAGCAGGAGCTGATGACCACGGATGTGTCTGTGGAGTCCAGCTCCTCCTGGGGGCGGGGGGCGGGCGCGGACAGCTCCGGTCACCCGACGGCCCCCGCCGCACCCCCGGCGCCCCTGCGGCCCCCCGCCCCGGGGCACCTTGGTCTCCTCCAGCTGCACGATGGTGGCCTGGCAGTCGGAGATGCCGTCGTTGACGTAGTCGATGTTGGCCGCCAGCGCCTCCATCTCCTCGGCCAGCTCCTGCAGCCCCTTGTCCTCCGGGCTCTCCGCCTGCAGCCGCTCCCGCCGCCGGCGCAGCGCCTCCTGCAGCAGGAACAGCTCCTCCCTTTTCTGGGGGCGGGAGGGGTGCCTCAGGATGCCTGCTGGCCAGCCCTGCCCCCCACCGCCGGGCCTCTGGGGACCCCAGCAGCTCTGGATTCCAGGGCCGCCATGAGGAGCAGGGGCCGGGGCACCGGGGGCGGTGGGAAGAGCCAGAGCAGCCAGAACAGATGGCGGGGCCGGTGGGGCCGGTGGGGCCGGTGGGGGAGGGCCCGCGCCCACCTTGATGAGCCTCTCCATGTCCGCCTCCAGGTTGACGATGGTCATCCGCTGCATGACGACGTCGACGACCCTCCGCTCCAGTGACTGCCACTTGAGCCGCGCGGCCTTGCTGAAGCTCTGGCCGGCCCCTTTCTTCTGGAACTTCTTCCTGGACCCGGAGACCAGCGGGTCGGGGCAGGGCCCTCGCCTGGGGCGGACTCTCCCGGGGCCTGCCTCCCGCCGGCCCGCCCGGACCCCCAGGCCCCGCTCACCTGGCCGGGCGGGCGCCGTGGCCGCCAGCCGCCGGGTGGTCCAGGAAGTGGCTGGCTTTCCGGTTCCACTGGCGCACGATGCTGGAGACGGAGCGGGCCCCCGACTCGGCCTCCGACGAGGTGCTGGCCGACACCTCGGCCCCCGAGTCCAGCATGGGCGGCTTCAGCCCCACGCGCCCCGCCACCCGGTCAGACATGGGCTTGGCCAGGCGCCTCAGTGCGGACACCTGGGGGCGCGGAGAGCGGGACCCGGTGAGCAGGGCACCCAGAGCCCAGGAAACGCCCGGGTAGGGGGAGGGCGCCCCTCCGTCTGGGCCTGGGCTGGGCTGGGGCTGAGAAGGGGCCTCCGTGTGCGAGGGGGTGAGCACGAGAGAGAGACCTCTGCCCTTTAAGGCCAGGAGGAACAGCACGGGCACTGGGGCCAGGGCCTGCAGCCGGCTCTCCAGCCCCAGCCCAGGCCACACCTGCACCGCTGGAGATGGGAGGCCCCGGGCCGCTCGCTGGGGGAGTGGGGGGTCCTCAGGAAGGCGCCTCGCTTACCTCCTGGGTCTTCCTCCTCAGGACCAGCTCCTGCTGCCGCTTCTGGGACTCCAGGGCTCGGATCTGAAACTGCAGGGGGACACGGGGGTCCGCACTCAGGGCCGGGCCGGGCCTCGGGGCCCCGCCTGCTGACCCCACGCCCCCTGGAGCTCGGCCGCTGTCCCAGAGGTCACGGTAGCCCCCTTCTCCACACGGGCACATCTCTGGCCCCTGGTCCCCACCACAGGCCTCTCGGCCGGTGACGTGGGGCACGTTCCCGCCCGTCGCCGTCACTGTCACCGTGGGGCTCACCCTTGCCCTGTGCAAGGTGGGGCTGCCCAGGAGCCTGCAGGGCCCCGCATCCAGGGTGGGGGGATGCCCTCACCTCCTGTCGCCGATGCTCCTTCTTCAGCTGCGCGATCTCCCGGTTCCTCTTGGTCTCCGCCAGCCGCCGCCGCTGCTGCTCCTCACGCATCTGCTTCATCAGGGCCACCTGGGGCAGGCGGAGGGGGCGGTGGGACAGGGCCGAGCAGGCGGCCCGCACGCTGCAGGGAGTGAGGACGCTGGGCGGGGGACCGGCAGCCTCCGCCGCCCACTCCTCTGCAGGGGCTGAGCTGCCCCATCTCCTGGGCCCCCTGGCCAAGGAGTGGCCTCCCCGCCGGCCCGGCCAGGTCTGGCCCCGGGCCCCACTGCTGCAGACGCGATGAGGCTCCCCCAGGGGGCAGCGTGCAGCAGGGTTCCCTGGGGACCCTGGACCGGAGCCCGGCCCCAGGCCCGGTCGTCGACAGGGACGGCGTGACTGTCGGCCGTGGGGCGCGGAGCCCCCCTCCCCCCAAGGTGCCCACCTTGGCCTTCTTCATCTCGGCCACCTCGGCCTGCAGCTTCCGCAGCTCCCGCTCGTAGCGGGACTGGTTCTTCAGCAGCCGCGCGTGCTCCTTCTGCGCGGCCTGCAGCTTCTGCAGGTCCCGGTGCATCTCGCGCAGCCTCTTCTCGTAGTCCGCCCGGATCTTGTTGGCCTTCTCCTCCGTGTAGCACTCCATGGTGCCTGCGGCGGCGACACGGCGGCGGCGTCAGGGCAGAGGCCCCCGGGCCTGGGCCCGGGGCCCCTGCAGGGCCGCCCTCCACAGCTGCTTCTCTGATTTGGACAATGCCGGGGTCAGGCTGGAGGACACCCAGGGACCTTCGTGCCCGGCTCGTGCCACAGGCTCGGACCGGCGTTTCCATGTTAAGATCACCGTGCCCCTGGCCACCAGCTTCCCGGGAGGGCCCTGAAGACCCTCCTGCTGGCTGGCTGTGACCCAGGACTCGAGGCAAGGGTCAGAGGGTTAGAGTCAGAGAAAGACAGAGCAATGGGGGCCGGAGCCAAGGGAACAGGCTGACCTGCACCCCGACCCCTCCTACTGTGCTGCGGACCGCTCCCCTGGAGAGGTACAGCCACCTCAGGGCCCGCCCCCAGACCTGCAGCCTTCCTCCTCCTAGTGGGTATCATCCTCCTCCTCCTCCTTGCAGACTCACCCCCCAGCAGCATCCTCGGCCCCCCCCCGTGGCCACGCCCTCCCCATCCATCCACGAAGCCTGTGTTCGCTCCTCAAACCCCACCCACAACTGGCCACTTCCCACTGCCCAAGCCGCCTTTCCCGGGACCCTCATCACAGCACCCAAACGGGTCTCCAGCTTCCACATTCGCTCCCCCAGCCAGCAGCCCGGGGGGGTCTTTTCAGAATGCTCTTAAACTTCACGTCCAGCCCGTCTCTCAAAAGGCCACGCCTTTCTCCCCTCCCCCAGGAGTCAAGGCCACGCCCTCACCCTGGCGGACGGGACCTGGCCCCACGTGTTTCTCTGACCTCCTGTCTTGTCCCCTCCCACCGCGCTTCAGCCCCTGGTGCCCTCGGCCTTCCGCCAGCGGCCAGGCAGACGCCTGCCTCAGGGCCTGGCGCCTTCTGTTCCTTCCGCCTGGAACGCCCTTCCCTGCACTCATTCTGCCCCAGCCCCGTGTCACCTCCTCATCTGCGCAAACGTCACCGGCACCGGGAAGCCTTCCAGGGCTGCCCTTTTAAGACTCCAACCCGCCTTCCTTCCCTGCTGTGTGCTTTCTGCCACACTCATCACCGCCTGACGTGCCCAGGTCCAGGGGTTCGTCTCACTTCTGTCTGTCCCCCCGCCAGGACGCTCGCTCCAGGGCCCCGGGGACCGCACCCACCCCAGCACCTGCTGCGCCCAGGCCCACGTCTGCCCCATGAGGCGTGTTTAGTCATTCAGCAGAGTTTTGCTGAAAACTCGAGCGAGCAAGCGAGGGAGTGAGCGAGCAGGCTGCAGAGCAGCGTGAGGAGGGCGGGGAGGGAGCGGCGGCGTGGGCATGGGTTCAGGGGAAAACTCCCCAGGAACCGAGCGCAGGGAGAAAGGTCGGAAAGCGTCACGTTCGTGTGCCTGGGGACGCGAAGGCCTCTAACACTTAAGATGACAGTAAAATAATAAAAATAATTTAAAACGTGGCATAGACCTGCGGTCACACAGAAGAACCCTTTGACTACGGGCAAGGTCCCAGCCCCCTGCAGGAAATCAGGTAAATCCCCGAGAGGCCAGGGGGTGCGTGGGGCTTTGCGCGGGGGCGGGCTCCTCGGGGGCAGTGGGCGGGGCCCTCGGGGCAGTGGGCGGGCCCGGGGGAGGGCAGTGGGCGGGGCCTCACTGAGGTTCTGCAGCACGCGGTCGCGCTCCAGCTGGGTGTCCCGGATCTTGTTCTGCAGCAGGATCAGCTTCTCCTCGTACTGGTGCTTGAGCGTCTGCAGCCGCCGCTGGCTGTTCTCCAGCTCGTCGATCAGCTTCTGCTTGATCTCGATCTCGCAGGTCAGGTCCGCCAGGTCGGCCTGGTAGTTCACCTCTGTGGGGCGGAGACCACCAGCCTGACCCACGGTGCCAGTGTGGGGGCGGGAGAGGGAACAGGGCGCAGCCTGCAGGGCCCCGGGCCCGAGATGGCCGGCAGGCAGGCAGGGGCCGCCCTCGGGGTCACGGCCGCTGCACGGCCGTGGCTGCTGGTGTCACGTCCGAGGCTCTAGGCTCCAGACAGCCACCGTCTCTGAGACCTGAGGACTCGGGGGCCCGCCCCCCACCCCGGGGGCACCTGGCTCAGGCTCTGCCCACGAGGAGGTGCCCCGAGCGGCTCCACGGGCCCCGGAGGGCACACGCACCCTTCCCCTCGGCGTCCGAGTCCGAGTCCGCGAGGCTCTCGTCGCTGCCCGAGTCCTCGTCCTCGTCCTCACGCCCCTCCTCCTCCTCCTCACAGCCACTCTCGTCCGGCTCTTCCTCCTCCTGGGCACCAAACGCCATTAGGGTGGGCTGGCGGGGCCCCCCGCCCCCCATAAGAGCTGGACCCAGCCTCAGGGCTGCAGGGCGCCCAAGGCAGAGGCCAGTCCGGGCCACATGGCAGGCACGACAGGAGACTGGGGGCCAGGGTGCTCTCAGACAGGGCCCTTGGGCCCACTCCCATGCCGGAAGAGAGCCCCCCAGCCCCCCAGCAGCCTGGTCAGAGCCCCCTCCCTGCACTGGGGTGAGGTGGGAGACTGAGGCACGGAGGTCCCCAGGGTGCCCGGGCAGCCTGTCAGGGGCCCCTCGCCCTCCCCTCCACGCACACGGCGGCGCTGGGGCCCCCCCCAGCAGAGGCGGGCGAACGGGAGCCGCGGGCGCCGCGGGCAGGCTCACCTCCTCCGCCTCGTCGTCCTCGTTCTCGTCCGTCTCCTCGCTGTTGTCCTGCTGGAGCGGCGCCCTCTTTTTGAAGGCCTCCTTCTCCGGGCTGCCCGGGGGCAAGGGGAGGCCGGGTGAGGGGACCACACCCGCCTGGGAAGGGGTGGGCGGCGGGCGGGTGGGGTGGGAGAGGCCCGCCCAGAGCTCACGGAGGCGCCCCACCCTCCCTCTCCCCCGGGGGGGGGGGCATGGCGGGGACTCTGCCCAGAAGGCCAGGCGGGTTTGCTCAGGGAGTCGCCGGGCACCCCTGGGCAGCGCCCCCTCCCCGGGGGGGCCACCCCGGGGCGCTCACTCGCCTCCTTCTCCGCTGCCTGATCTCCTTCTTCTTGAGGCGCTCCAGGTCCTGCTTGGCCCGGCGGATCACCTCGGCGGCGTCCTCCATGGAGCTGGCCGGGCTGCCGCCGAAGCCCGGGGCTGCCGGGGAGGCACCCAGGGCGTAGGGGCCCCGCGCCGAGGCCCGGGAGAGGCTGCGGCGTAGGGACTCGTTCATGGCCTCGCTCTCCAGGAGCTTCGTCCTGCGGGAGGCGGTGGTGGCCAGTGTCAGCCGGGCCGCCCGGCCCAGGGCCCCCGGGCGTGCCGGGCTCTGCCCGGTGAGCCGGGCCCACTCACCGCAGCTCCTCGATCTCCCGGATGTAGCTCTGGATCAGGGCGCCGATGGCCTCGTTGCCGTCACCTGGGGGGAGAAGCCACAGAAGGACCTTCAGGTCCGAACCGGTGGCCTTGCCTCCGTGCCCCCCGCAGGGCCGCACGCACCGGCCTCTTCCAAAGAGGGGTCCGAGTCCGAGAAAGGCTTGTCCTGTGCACGGGTCTGCACGGGCAGGTCAGTAACGGCGAGACACTGGACCCGGCCGAGCGTCCCTCCGGAGGGACTGTGCGGTCACCACGCACAGCTCCTCACGCCACAGACAGGGCACGGCCATTTGCAAACACTGGGTTGTTCATGGGACTTAAAGCACAGCGCTGGGTGCAGAGGGGAGGTCGTGGGACACCCGACCTCCGGCGCGGAGGAGGAGAGACTGTGTTGTCACCACACGCGTGTGAGTGTGCAGGGAGGCACGCCCACCCGGGAGCACACGCTCGGACGGGCTGCTCCCGGAGGCTGCACGCAGCGGGGCCGGAGCGGGGAGGGGAGGGCAGGGAGAGAGGGTCACCCTCCCTCCCACCGACTGTCGTCCACACAAGGAGTCCCAACTGGCCGGAAGGAATAGCACATGGGGCTGGTCCGAGAGCTGCCCGGCCGGCCGGGCCCGCCCCGCATACGGCTGCGGGCGGAGAGGGACTCACCGGCCTTGGCCAGCAGCAGGCTGGCCTCCTGGCTCATGAGCTGGGTGACGCGGCTGTTGATGGCGTCGATGGCCTCCTGCATGGCCTTCACCCGCAGGCGCAGCGCCCCGTTCTCCTTCTGCAGCATGGCGTTCTCCCGGAAGAGGTCGCTGTAGCCCTCGCTGCCGTCCTCCCCCATCACCCGCTTGCCCTGGGGGGGGGCGGGGCGGAGTCAGGTGCTGGGCCCCCGGGGGGGAGGGGAGGGGCGGCAGGCTGTGGCCCCCGGTGCCCCGGGGTTCCTAGGACACAGCCCCTGCCTCTCGTGCTCGGGAACCCTGCGTGGCTCCCCGTGAGGACGGGGAAGTCCGGCGTTTGTGACCGGCCCTCGCAGGCCTCCCCCCGCGCTGCCTCGACCTTCCTCTCCGCGGCTCCCCTTCCCTCCCCCACAAACTCTCATCCTGCAACGCCCGCTCCACTTGCTTTTGCTGACATCCCGCTCATTCTGCAAATTCCAGGGGAAAGGCTGCCTCCTCCACGAAGCCCTCTCTGACCAGCTGAGGAAGTAGGGCCAACCCCCCCTGGGCCTGCCCCGGCCCCACCCATCACGACGGACAGCGCGTGTAGTCCCGCCCACTCTCCTCCCCCTCCGGCGCGAGGTCTAGGGGACTCCCGGGGTCCACACAGCAGACAGGCAGCCGCCACCGCGCAGAGCAGCCGGGCGGCCTCGGGGCCGCGCGAGGCGCACTCACCGCCTTGTACTCCAGGAGCTCCAGCTGCAGGCGCGCGACCTCGGCCCGCAGCGCGCCGATCTGCTGGCTCGTCTTGTCCTGGTTCACCACCACCTTGTTCTTGATGTTCCGCGCGCGGTTGGCGTACTTGAGCGTGTTGAGCGTCTCCATGAAGTCCCGGTCCGAGGGGCTCACGCAGGCGATCATGATGGTCTGGCTGCGGGGCGGGGGGGTGGAGTGAGGGTCCCGGGGCCGGCAGGTCCCCGGAAGCCTCGGAGCTGAGCTCCTGCCACGCCCCCCCCCCCCCCGCGGTAACACCGAGGACCCGGACCGCCCACAGCGCAGGGAGACGGCGCCGGGTCAGCGCTGGAGCGCCCGCCCGCGCCTGCTCGCCGTCTCCCCTCTCGCGCCCCATCTGCGCCCCCTCACTGCCTGTAGGACTGCGCCCCCTGTTGTGCAGATGAGGAAACTCAGTCCCACCATGTTGTCCAAAGGTCATGGGGGTATCTCAAGGTGCCGGCGCCCCACGCAGCCCAGAGCGGGAGGTCTCCTGGCCCTCGGGGCCTTCACACTTGAACCTCACATCCTGTTTTCCCGGGTCGCCCCACCTCCTGCCCCTCCCTGGGCGCCGGCGGGTACCTGTTGCCCCCGAGCGAGTCCTGCAGCAGCCGGGTGAGCTTGGAGTCCCTGTAGGGCACGTGCACCACCTTCTTGCTCTGGTCCCCCAAGGCGCTGATCACGTTGCCCAGGGCCAGCTGCGAAGACAGACCCCGGCATTGGAGAGGCACTGGGGGGCCGGCGCGGTCCCCGAGCCACCGCGCCGCCCCGGCCCTGCGCCTACCAGGCCGCAGTTGATGGAGATGCCCTCCTTGGCTCGCTCGCCGGTGGCCCCCGTCCGCTTCAGCCGCTCGGAGCCGGCCAGGTCCACAAAGTGGAACTTGGCTGTGAGCGTCTCGAACTCCCTCCGGGGTGTCGCGGCCTCGGGAAGCCCGGGCAGTGTCTCGGCCACCTGCGGCGGGAGGGAGGCGGCGGCTGGCTCAGGGTTCCACGCGCCCGCTGCTCCCGGCCCCGCCCCCTCTGAAGGCCCCGCCCCTCCCAAGGCCCCGCCCCCTCCCGGGCCCCGCGCTCCTCACCAGCTCCGGCTGGGCGCAGACCCGCATCTGGCAGACGTGGACGGTGAAGATGGCGTGGGAGCGCGAGCTCTGCACGTTCATCTGCGTGCTGGCCGTGGTGCGGGACAGGGCGCCCTGCCGCAGGCACTGGATCAGCTGGGGCGGGAGGCGGAGGTGAGGGCGCGGCCGGGCGGCCCCTGCTGCCCCTGCTGCCCCAGCCCCCACCGCCCCGCACGCCGGCTCACCTCCTCCTGGGAGTTGACCAGGCGGGACGTGACGCCCGTGGTGTAGATGCCGCCGTTGGCGTCCTCGTGGATCTTGATGTTGGACTTGCGGTGGCGGGCGTCGGGGTCCCGGGTGCCATCGAACAGGTCCAGGATCTCCTCGTTGTAGAGCTGTGTGGGGAGGGGACAGCTGCTGGGCTCCTGGGGCCCGGGGACCTGCTCCTGCCTATACACCAGCCCCTTCCGCGGACGTGGCAGCCGCAGCTCCGGGCTCCAGCACTTTCTCCCGGACAGGGGTGGGGGCATCTGGGCCGGGGGAGGGAGGGTCCTGAGGCTGCCCCTCCCCCAGCAGTTATGGCAGAGCACTGGGGACCCACAGGGGACGAGGGGCCCCGGGTCCCACATATAGATGAAGAGACGCCTGTGACTTGGGCAAATCCTACTCTGTGACTGCCTGGGAAAGTTGGGGTGGGGATGTGCTCCCAGACACAGGAGGAGGAGGGGGGGTCTAGGTGACGACCTCCTCACAGCGGGGCGGGGGGGGGACACACGTGGCTGTGTGCCCTGCACTCAGGGGGGAAAGAGGCCCAGCCTCCCAGGGAGGGCCTGGTGAGACCACACGGATTTGGGGGGCCTGGCCAGGCCCGGTCGGCCGGTTTCAGAGGGTCTCGGCCTCAGACACACCTGTGTTCGTAATTGCTAGCAGGGGAGTGTCACCTGTGGAAGGGCTGGGAGGCTCAGGGTGGGGCGCTGGGGCTGGGGGGCGGGAAGGGGGACTGGGCAGCTGGGGCAGCGGCCAGCAGAGCCCTGCGGGGGGAGGGCGGGCTGCCGTCCTCAGACGTAAGTAAGTTTACGGGACAGAAATACCCGCAGGAAGGGGAAGAGGAAACGGAAGGGGACTGGTGCCCTGGTGTCTGTCTGTCAGGACGGACCTGGCATCATTTAACCCCTTGTGGTCCGCCCTGGGATGTGGGTTTCCTACGGAACGGCCTGGCCTTTGGGGGTCTCCACGGGGATGGGATGGAGAAAGGAGGGAAACAGAGAGAGGAGCTTATACAGACTCACATCAGCGGGAAAGACAGACAGACACACACACGCACACAGAGGCAGCCTCTGTGTCCAGAGTCCGGAAGGACAAGAAGACAAACACAGCACAACAGGGCCCTACAGGGCCACCCAGGGGAAGAGCGGCCGCCCAGGGGAAGAGCGGCCGCCCCGTGCGCTCGGGAGGGAGCAGTTGTGGGGCGGTTGGCAGGGCCGGGGTCGGGGCACGGTGACCTAGAGCTGCCTCCCCCCCCATGGAGGACGCCCTGGGTGCGGGCATGCACAGGGCAGGTGGGGCGAGCACTCGGGCCGGGGGTCTCCAGGCTGGGGGAGCAGAGGCTGAGAGGCAGAGCTGCCTGGTTTGGGTGTCCCAGTGGGAGGGGACCTGGGCAGGCCCACTGCCTCCCCAGAGACCCGCTGAGAAGCCCCTCTCCGGGCCCCAAAGCCCGAGCTGCCCCTGGCCCTGGCCCCTGGACGTCTCCCCGAGGGAGGCAGGGCGCTCCTGGAGTGTCTTCCCTCCTGGGGTCAGAGAAGACTCAGGGGTCCGGAAGGGCCTCCGCCAGTGAGGGACAGGGCAGGCTGGCTGGAGGCCGGGGGGCTGGAAGGGTGGGCGGGAGCCCCAGTTCTCACTACGTGCCAGGCCTGCGCTTCCTCTCTCCACGGCCCCCGAGGAAACGCGTGGTCACCCCGTTGCACAGAGTCCTGAAGTGACTCGCCCAAGGTCAGGGTCTGAAGGGACCCCCTAGCCCCGTTGACTCAGGCCCCGCCGGACGCAGGGAACCCCCTGAGAGTCCCACCCCATGCGTGGTCTTCCAGCCCTCGCTTGGATGCTTCCAGCAGCGGGGAACTCATCACCTACAGACGCCTCCAGGGCTCCCTGGCCTCATCCCACTGCCCTGGAGGACAGCCCATCTTCCATGGTCTCCCGGTCCCCAAGTGTCCCTCCCGCCCGCCCTGTGAGGCCACGGTACCTCCAGGAACTGGGCGCTGACTTTGAACTCCGGCTCGGCCACCCCCTGCTCCTGGGCCCGCCGCTTGCGCTCAGCGATGCCCCCGAAGAGGTGCGCAATGGCCCTGGGGATGATGCCCTGCTCCTCCTCGGCCATCACTGTGTCGAAGCCGGTGCCCATGGTGTAGGTCTTCCCGGCCCCCGTCTGCACGGAGAAGGTGGAGGGATGTGTTAGCCAGCGCCACCCCCCCCATTCCCTCGCCACCACCCGCCAGCCCGGCCCCTGCCCCGAGAGAGTCCCAAAGGGCTGTCACGCCCTGGGGCTGTCACTCCGGCCGGCAGCCCTCCCTCTGCCGCAGCCTCAGAGGACGGCGCCCCTCGGCGGCTCTCGGGGGTGGGGCTCCCGCCCGTCGCCGGGGCGGGCGGGCTCACCTGCCCGTAGGCCAGCACCGTGGCGTTGTAGCCCTCGAAGCAGCCCTCCACCAGCCTGCGGACGCAGGTCGTGTAGACGTGCTCCTGCCAGGTGTCCAGGTCGAAGACAAAGTCGTAGGTGAAGGCCTTGTCCTTCCCCAGGAGCACCTGGGGCTCGCCCGGGGTGACGGACGTGCAGGTGTGACAGCCCTCGATTTTCTCCTTCGGCAGCTGCGGCCGGATCCTGCCGGGGCGGGGCGGGGGGCAGACGGCCCGGGTCAGCTCCCCACCCTGGCCCCCGCCGGCCCCCCGCCGCTGGAGGGGAAGGCCCCCCAGAGGGCAAAGGCGGCTTTGGTAAAAACACAACGGTAATAGCAATAGCGTCGGCACTGCCCGTGTTCACATCCGCTGACATGCATTACATGTAGTGAGCTTTCGGTCGGACCTGCGTGGTAGGATTTCCTGTGTTCATATTAACGCGTGTGTTCCCGTGAGGCACGTGTTGTCTGCTGGATCTCACAGGGGAGAGAGCGGGATTGTGAGACTTGGAGGGACTGGTCCGGGGATGAATAATGCAACGTGACAGGGCCACCCCAGGTCTGTCTGGCCTCACGGCGGGGGGCCAGCTTGGGGACTGGAGGAACAGGCCCGGCCACTCCCAGGGGCTCAGCGCTCCAGCGCAGAAGCCCCGCCCCCGTGCCAGAGCCGGTGGGACCTTCCTGGGAACCCCGTCTGGTGTCTGGTTCCTCTCCAGGAGCCCAGGGGGCACCCCGGCGCAGTCCTGCAGGACCAGGTTGAAGCCAAGCTCGCCGGGAAGCGGGGGGACACCCAGCCCGTCGCCACAGGAGGGGCCCACACCACAGATCCCTGGCGGGGGGGGGCTCCCCTGGAGAAAGGAAGGAAAGCGGCAGCAGGGCTGAGGGGGCGTCAGCCGTGGACAGGGCTGTCTCCATCCAGCCTGGCTTCCCCGAGTCTTCCCAGCAGCCATTGCCATGACGATGTCCCCATGGCAACCAGAGGTGAGTCAGTGAGCCTGCGCAGGGACTGGCAGCCAGCACCTCTCCGATGCCTACAGTGAAGGGGGATGGGCAGGCGCTGACACTCCGGGGCCCCCCCACCCCGGGGCAGCCCTCTGCTGTCAGCACGGCGCTCACAGGGCGCCCCTTGTCGGTCCCTGGCTCCCTGAGCTGACGTTCGCCCCGAGAAGAACGGAGCAAGACCCACCGCGGGCCCAGGGCTCCTGGCCACAGAGCCAGGGCGTCCCGCCACCCTGCCCCTGCCCCGGAGCGCCGCCGGCCACTCCAAGCTCACCCGGGCCTGCCCTTGCCCTGTGCAGTGGGGACAGGGGCGGGGAATGCTCTGGGCGGGGGTGGGGTGCAGGTCCTGCGGGTCCGGTGCTCCCACAGAGCCTGGCCTGGGTGGTCCCAGAAGCGCTTCCCCCGCTCCCCAGGCCAGAACTGGTCTCCTTGGGTCAGGGCTACCCAGATGAACCACGACAGGATGGAGGCCCGAGGAGGCCCCCTGATCACCCGCCCCGCCCAGCTGTTCCAGCGGCTCCGGGCCAGCTGAAGCCAGCACCCAGCGAGCGTCCCAGGGTCCCCCAGAGTGGTTTCTGCTCATCACACCGGCTGGCCGGCCGGCCACCCGGCCGGCCAGAGTCCAAGGCCAGCAAAGGCTCCTGCACGGTCCACGGCAGCGGCCGACACCGATGGGCACTCTCCGTGTGCACCAGGCAGAGCGTGAGCCCTGGTACCCCCGTTCCACCCACGGGAAGTGAGGGCCACAGGGGTCGGGAGCCGTGTGTCTGCGGCCCCTCAGGGGCCCCGCCCTGCCGTGCGGCTGAGGGGCTGGCTCAGCGTGCGGTGGGGACAGACACACATGTGCCGGGGACAGAGCCCGCAGCCACCTGAGTGGGCCGTGGCGCCAAGCACAGGCCCAAGCAGGACCTGGAGCTCTGGCCCTCCCTCGGGCCGGCTCTGGCCCGCGCCTCTGGGACCAAACACATCCTGCCCCCAGCAGCCCGGTGCTACAGGTGAGCAGAGCCTGGCTGGGCAGCCCCGGGGGCCCCTGCGGCTTTGCACCGGCTCCCAGGACGCACCCCCACCACCACACGGGCTGCTCTCGATGGGCGGTCTGGATCCAATTCAAAGACCATTTAATTACCCCTGGCTGCTGGCAATGCTGGCGATTGGAGGAAATCGAATCAGGGTCCCCGGAGACCGGGAGCAGCGGGAGGGGCAGCTGCCCTGTCCGTCAGTGAGACAGACGGTTCTTCGCCAGCAGCCCCCAGGCCACGGGGTTGCCCGCCTGGCAGGAACGGGGCGGGGGGGGGCAGTGTGGGAGGGGACGAGAGCAGGGGATGCTGGGATGTTAGGGTCCCGGAGTGGTGGGGTCCGTCGGGGATCCCCCCTGGGACCCTGCCAACCCATGTGGGGTGCTCTGCAGTTAGAGACAGCCAGCCAGCCACACACTGGCCCATTCTAAGCACCAGGGTGCTTTGCAGAATGCAGATGGGCGAGCGATGTCACCCAGAGGAAAGGGTGCCGGCCAGGAAACGGGGGCCGTGGCCCGGGCAAGGCACTGCCTCCCGAAGCCGCTGACCTGGACAAGGGAGAGAGTGCCCGTCCGGGGAAGGGGGCTGGAGGGGTAACTGGAGACGGAAGCCCAGGAGAAGCGAGGTTCCGGGGAGCTTTCTGCGCTGGTGCTGGGCCGGGCATATGCCACAGACGGCTTCCCTGAGTCCCGCCCTGAGCCAGGGCCTCCAGAGCCCGTTTACCCTCGTGGCCCTGCTCCTCGCTGGGGGTTGTGGGGGGGTCCGTGTGGAAGCCAGGTTGCGGGTCGTTCCAGGACAGGCCGAGGAGCTGCGGACCAGACCCAGGACTGGGGGGCGAGGGGAGTGAGGCTCTGGCTGGCCTCAGCGCACCGTTGAAGGGGGCACGTCCGTGAGGAAGGACAACTGTAACTGAACGCCGCATTTGGGAACCTCGGACTGGCTGGCTACGGCCCGAGACGGGTCTGCTCCCTGGTTTTGTCGGTGAGGGTTCCTGGGGGGTGGGCCAGACCTCCCATCTCTCTTTCCTCCGGACCCCCTGGAGCTCCTCTCAGGCGTCTCCCCGCTCCCGAACCCCTCCCATCCGAGGCGAGGCAGCCCGGCAGCCCCACGCAGAAAGGCCCGGAACCTCCCGGAACACAGCCTGGTCTGTGTGCCACTTGGCACCCGCAGCCCGAGCGCGGTGGGAGCCGGGCAGGGGTGCGGAGAGAGGGCCAGCCAGGGCTTTTCAGCGGCAGGATTTGGCACCGGGGCGGGCACTGGGCTTCCTCTGCTCCTGGCGGAGCAGGAGCTGGCCGCTGCGGGCTGCGGTTCTCAGACCCACCCCCACCGCCCCGGAGAGGGGCACACCCCCCAGCGCGGAGCCCGCGGGAAGAGCTGAGCTCAGCTAGTCCTTGAGCCTCCGCCGGCAGGGAGCCGCGAGGACAGGGCGGGAGGGGAGGGCAGAGGAGACAGGGAGGCGGCGGCCAAGGAGAAAAACTCCCTCTGCAAATGGTGCCCAGAGAGAGCCCCACTCACACCCAGCCCCAGGACGGGGGGCAAGGACGGGGCCGACTCTCTTACCCCCCGACCCCCCTTAGTGACGACACAGAGACAGCCAGACACGGCCCCCCAGGCGCCGCCCAGTGTGACCTTGGGCTCCTGGGGGGTTGCTCAGTGTCTCGGGTGACATTTGTCCCATGCAGTCAGCTGGCAAGGGCCCCTCCCCTGTCTTCTAACCGGCCTGCCCCCGGTCCTGCCCCCGAGCTCCTGAAGGCGCGGCCCAGGGAGGGAGTCTCGGGTCTCTCCCCGACGCTGAGATACTAACAGAATGAGCCAGGACGACGGCGGCGTGTGGTCCTGATGAGGCCCGACCCTCTCTTGGCCGGCACCTGGGGCCCCAAACCCCTCGGCCCCTTTGTCTCGCCCGGTCACCGCCGCACCACCCGGGAGCGGGAGCGAGGCCGCCTCTCTCTCCGCGGGACACTGCGCCAGCCGCTCTGCACCGGGGAAGGCGGGAGTCTCTGCCCCAACTGACCAGTGGGGGCTCAGCGAGAAACCGAATGAGCCGCTTCAAGGCCGCAGGGCTGAGCAGTAACAAGGCCTTCACGCGCCATCAGCCCCGGGGCCAGCTCGCTCCAGGAGGAGGGCTGGGCAGGGCCCGCACGCTGTTCACTCGTGAGGCTGTTCACGCGTGAGAAACGTGTGCCTCTGGGACTTCCGGGTAGGGAGACCCCCTGCCCCCCTCGAAGGCTAGGAGAGAGCCGGAGACCTGGCTGGAGTCGCCCCGAGGCTGGCCCAGACAACCAGCTAGTCTCTTTGGAAACAGCCCCAGGGGAGAGAGCCTGTCTGTTCCTTTCTCCTGTGGGACCCGGACGCCTGTCTGAACCCTGGAAGGGAGCCCCGGAGGCCAGGGGGACCGCCCGGGAGGACGGCCATCGCCCTGTCACAGGGTGAGCTGCCCTGCAGACTGAGGGACAGAGCACACCCACGCCCAGCCCACGGGCGGCCTGCAGCCGAGCTGTGGCGTGAACGGGTGTGTGTGCGTGTGCGTGTGCGCACACGTGGCAGGGACTCGGAGCAGCCCGTGACCTCTAGTCCGCCGTCACCCTGAGTCATGAGCCACCACGGTGCCCTGCCACGGAGGAGCCGGATCAAAGGGGAACCGGGCCACAGCAGGGGATCTAGATAAGCCGGCAGAAGGAGCTTCCCGCCCGCATGCCGCTGCCCGGGAGGGGGGGTGCCTGGCCGTCTGCAGTCCCCTTCCTCAGAGCCACAGCCGCCGGTGTGCCTGACGGCTGGGAGAGCTGGGTCAAGCTCGCTTACGCAAGGGAGGCCCAGGCACGTGTCTGGGCGACCCCCATTTGGCTGAGGCTCTGACGCGCCCGCAGCCGCAGGACTCGCCTCGGCGGAGATGAAATGCCGGCCCGCCCGTGCGCGAACCTGCAGCGACTCGGAGGGGCGCTGCGCCAGGTCGGGCAGGGCGGCTGGAGAAGAGTGACCCCTGGAGAACGCCCGGACCGGCCCTGCCAGCAGCAGCCACCAGGCCAGGAGGGAAGCGCGGAACCGGGACGAGCGGGGCTGGGAGGACCGGCAGGAGGATGAGGAGGCGGCCGCCACCAAGGCTGAGAGCAGCACATCCCCCTCCGGCTGCCCCCGCCCCCCTCGCGGCAGCCTGCCAGCCCTGCATCCCCGCCCTCCCAGGGGAGTCTGGC